ATAGATTTATTGAATGATAATAATACAGGTAACAGTTAAGTATTGGAAGTTTTTACATAGACTGAACAAATTCCAGCTTAACCCCAAAATCTCACAACCAACAAGTTCAAGACTAGTATGTTGACATTTCTGATATAGATAAAGAAGTGAGTCAGCAAGGAACTGGAGCATGGATGATAAACATAATGATAATAAACAAGCTGAAACGCTGGAGCTTCAGTTAATACATGTAATACGTGCCACAGTACTAAACTGAAGATCAGCTGTTCAAGTTGGTGTGCTAAAGTCAACAGGACAAGACTTACAGCAATGTTATCAAATTTATTTAAATCTTGAGGAATTTGATGATAAAGAAATTCTTTCGGTTTAGGGCCTGTTTACATGAAGGTGGGGGACCCCAGGTAGGTTAGGTAACCCGCCTAAGCGGGGTAACCCGCCTGTTCATATAAGTTCTTATTCTATTCTGATTACGTTTACATGATAGGTTTGGGGTAACCCGCCTAGGTTACCCGATCTGCCAGGTAGGGTAACCCTGTCAGCCGGGGTGACAATCTGCCATGTAAACGTGTCAAGGTGAGTTAACCCGGGGTCGCGTTCATGGCAAAAAGCTCAAAAGCGAAACATGTATGTTTTAAAACTTTGTGCATTTCCTAGCCGTCTCATGGGAGAAATCACCAATCGCAACGGACACACAAGGAGTGTAAAATGTTTACATTTCGGAATATTTAGTGATATAAATCAACCATATTTGGTTTCCCAAACTATTCCGTATAACGTATTAAGTCAACGGTTCCTCGCGAAACCAAACACTGCGTAACACAACGCGTGACGATTTCATGAAAAAATACATTAGTGTCTGAGAATAAATCTTACGTCTTCTTCGAGATGTGAGCTTGGAACGCCTCTGCTCAAACTCCTTGATTGCAAGCGCAACAACAACCTTAAGAAACCTCACCCCAGCACCCCTGGGTTGTAAGATTGCACGTAAACGCGTTTTAGTTTTCGATCACGGTTAGGCGGGTTACCTAACCTAGCTGGGGTCCTCCGCCCCAGATAGCAATATCATGGTGCCCCATAGCAATATCATGGTTCCAGAGACAACAATGTTTGCTCACTCATGTAATGCTGCTGTATATTTTCATTTGTTCACCTTCCATATACACCTGTGCTATTTTCCTACATTACTAATTGGAAGGAGCTTACAGTCAAAGCCCTTTAAAATGCTAGACTGACAATGATTGAGTCAACGTGTTGTAAAGACGCAAAATGTGTGATGATTTCACATTGAAATGAAGCTTGACTCGGAAAAATATTTAAATTTTTTACCAGTAAATAAATGATAGTAAGTCTTAAGTTTCTCGTCACTAAGATTTAGAACAGTTAGTATTAAGAGGTCATAAATGTAGATTGAATCTAACTTTACATGAAAACCTCCAAAACCTCCTCTAGTTCCCAAAGTTATTTAACCACATAATAGTAAATAGAAAACTTACCAGTCGTCACAAAATATACTATACTGTTAAAGCGCTTGAACGCGATCCCAGTTTGGTCTGCGAGACGATTACTGGGGAGCGAGCTGAAGTGGCTTTTATTGGTGTGTATTTGGTGATTTTAGGTTTTGAGCCAGACCTCTTGGAGCTATAGCTTGTTCTACTGCTTCTAGACCCTCCTGATCTGCCTCCACCACCATGTCCCCTTGTTTCGAATATTTCTACCATAGCAAGAAGGACGATGGCAACAAGAAACACTGTAGCAATTCTCGTCTTTGTTGACAACGACATTAACAATCGAGATTAAACTTAGTTTTCCCTCGCGATTTTTCCTTCACCGGGTGTGCAACCTCCTGCAAACAAGATTTCACAAATCATTCGTAAGTGCTTGAAACATGAATCAACAAAAGACATGTATCAGTTCATAAAGTAGCTGACATGCAATAGTTTGTAACTCAGATTATAAGTGTTTAATAGCCTACTTCCTTATGTCCAAGAAAATGATGGAGAAGCAAATGACTTAAAGATAAACCATCGACTTTCTTCAAATTAATTCATAGAGAAGTAATCACTAAAAAAAAATTCCAAGGGTTGTATTTTTGTCATCAAAATATGTCTATTTATAGACCAGAATTGCCTCTAATGTGAATTCCAATGCTTTTAGCAGTTCTGAGAGGAAACATGTATGACAACAACAATAGCTTCTTGCAGAAACTTACCAAGACCGGAAAACCAAAAAACAGCGTCGAACCCGCCAACGAGTTCAAAGCTACTGCGGTTTTACTTTATGTCAAAGGTCTGTCCGAACAGCTTCGCCGTTGCCTACAACATCTCAGTTAGTACGATCAAAAGACGCTGTCGACCCGGCTAAACAAGATGGCGTAGTTTACAGGATTCCCTTTGAATGCGGCAAGGTGTACATCGGAGAGAGTGGAAGACCTATGTAAGACAGAATTAAGGAGCAAGATAGAGACATCCGACTCGCCCGTACCGAGACCTCCGCCGTTTCAGAGCATGCCCACAACACCGGACACAAGCCACTCTGGAACGAAGTAAAGTTTATTGATCGTGGCCCTTCTTACTACACGCGCAGGGTCAAAGAGGCAATTCATATAAGACTTCACCCTAACAACATCAACAGGGATAGTGAAATAGAAATTCCAGAAGCGTGGATGCTCACGATCAAAAAACACAACAACAGGAGAGCCGTGCAACAGCGGTTCGCCGAGGGAGCAAATCACTGAGTGAAACAGCAAGGATCGAAATGCACCAATCAGGGCTGTTGAAAAAAAAAACTGATCACAGCACAGCATCATGCTTTATAAGATCACGCATGACCAGTCGACCTCATCGCCTTAAGAAGACTAGCAGTATGTAGTCGTAACGTCGCGATCTACATCTCACGTGACTACATCGTGAGACAAACGAAAAAACCTAGCCTTTATTGTTATTCACCACGATGAATAACCACAACCTTTTTTACGAACCAACAATAGTGTAACTTGAACTTATTTACAACGTTTGTTTTCATAGGCTATAGTTACGCTTAGCCCATGCGCACTGTCCGAGAAACCCATTAAAACTGTGCGTGGCCAGAATGCACTTAAACCTGTGGTTATACAATGCAATGTTGTTTTAAGGCACATTAATGCAATGATGTTTTAAGGCACATCCGTGGTTGTGTATCCGTGGTTGCTGTAATCCCTGCGCCACGGGGTTACATGTCAGCAATGATGGTGGATAAGCCAGAGGATATGATTTTCTATCACCGCGATTTTATGAAGAAGTATCACGATGCTCCCAACAATAAGAAAAACACTGTTCCGGGTCATGACTAATTTGCTAAACTAGCTTCCTTCGAAGAGGAGCACTGCGAGAAAGAGGAATTATATCCGGAGTACAGAAAAATGTCTTGCCAAAAGAAAAACAGCGAGCTATGTGAATACTGTCGAGCAACTGACTTTGTAAGTCCTTCTCCAGCTACACCAACTCCACGACCCTATCCCGATTGCAGCAAACTTCCCGACTATCACTACCATCCAAGTACGAAAACACCTACGAGTGGCCGCAAACCTGATCATTATCAGCCTCGAGCTTAAATAAAACAGATGGTTCAAGAGGGTAAGCTCAAAGCAAGGGATAAAAAGGCAATCAAAGAGTCTTCTGAAAAATACATTGTTTCAGAGAAGCTTGTTGCAGATTACATTGAGCATCTAACTGACATAATTGAAATGAGGAAAGATAAGCGGCCCACAGATAATGACAGGAAGCGCGCAGAAAGGAAGCAACAAGGATACAATGACATTGACTGGCAAGATCTCTATCGCAGAAGCCAGTTGTCATCCCTTAGAGTAAGTGAACTTGAACTTTATATTAATCACTAGAATATTGCATTTAAAGGAAAGAAAGATGAGAAAGTGAGGGTGG